GGCCGTGTCAAATTCATTTTTGCATATCCCTTGTGGCATCCGTGAGTAGAAAAACCCAAGTGGCGCCTCCGTGACTCAATTTTGAAGACAATTTTGGATGATTTTTGTTGTGATAAAATTCCATGAATATTAAAAGCGACAGACGTCATTCCAGTAGACTTTCAAGAAATGTTTTTCATTTTTAAAGAAAGGGTTGGCATTGTGTCCCTTACACATCGCAGGCATAAATTAACGCGTTCTGGTGTGTATTCAGCTGCGATTTGTTGGGGACGTAAAGGGCACAGGCAAGGAAAAAGCCTTGTGACTATCAGGATGAGATCTGAGACATAGTTGGTGGTGGTCGGAGGGACCGATGGCACATACTGGGTGCCTGGCTTCTGTCAGTGTGCCCCAGGGCAGCTGTGGCTACAGTAGTAGTTTATCACCACTGTGTATGTAGTGAGAGAATATGTGAAGCGTCTAAAAATGTCCTCAACAGCGCTATACAAAACCAATGTATTATTATTATTATTGTTATTAAGAGAGACCAGAGACAAGAGAGACCAGAGCAGATGAATGAGCATAGACCAGACAAACCAGAGAGCCCACAGGGACCAAAGACAGACCATATACTATACCTGAGAGAACAGAGACCCCAGAGATCATAGAGACCATAGAGAGACCAGAGAGAGACCAGAGACAAGAGAGAGAAACCAGAAACTAGAGAGCAGAGGCCGAAGTCCAAAGACCAGAGACCAAAACCAGAGACCAGACACTTGTCCGTGGATTAAACCTGTGATTGGAAGAGCTGCACTTTCATTAAGACGATCAAAGAGTGAGATCAGTGCACTGATCCACAAGAGACTTCAGAGGAAACACTCTTTACTGATCATTTATTTGGATTTCCCCTGCAAAAGAGGGACTTGGACAATCCTTGAATGGCTCATACCTGGATTTTACAAAGACAATACAATATAAACACACACATTTCTTAAGCCCAAAATAGTGTGACACATACAGTTACTGAGTTAGAGAAGTTTACTTTTATATGTAGGTCAACAGGAGCCAGAGCCAGCTGGGCTTCATTGAGCTAGAAGATAAGCATTTTCCATCTGTACAGTATGTGATAAGGAGGGGGGAGCACGTAGTTGTAGTAAAGAACACAAGGGATCTTTTGTATAAAATCAATTTATTTACAAAAATAAAAGGTTAAAAAAAGTCCCATTTAAAAATAAATGGTCCCAACGAGTTGCTGGTCAGCCCAGGTTCTTTCAGCATTCCCGGGTCCTGTAGGCACAAAATAGAGCAGTGGAGAGGAAGCCAAGCAGCAAACCATTCGCACATGCACCAACAAAAACAGGAGCACCACTGCTTTCTGCTGCGCACTTACCAGCGAGGCCGAGTTTTTACACTTGGCCGCCTTCTGGATTGGGCCTCGCGGTGCTCAACCCGGTGGATCGAGTCTCCCGTGGTGCCGCGGACCCTGGAGGCAGAGCACATCCACAGTAATGCGTCAATACATCCCAACGAGTCCCCCCGCCAAAGGCTACTTCACGAACACCACTACTCATTGCGTTCCTGTACTTAGACGCGAAGGCAGAGCGTCCTCTGCCTCCTGCGGTAGTTCAGCCTCGTGGTGTTCTCTGTTGACTCGTGGGGCAATGGCGATGACTGTGGTCCGAGTCACGTATCCGGTGCTGTGCTGTCCCGTGTTCTGCTCCCCTCTCTGTATCACTGCGTCTCTCCTTTTCTGCTCCCAGTCCACCCTTATGTCTCTCCTGCTCACTAAGTCGCAGGTGTGCTGATTAATCTTGGAGCGCAGGCATTTGCTGACGATCATGTGTGGCTGGGGGCAGCAAGGCATCACATTAAAAGCAAATAAAACACTTATAATAAAATCAAATAAAACCATGCAATAAAATCCACACTAAAAATATGATAAAACATGCCTGCTTACAGATCTGTATACACGTTATGTCATAGTCCCAGAAAACGTTTGCACAGAGAAGGGGGGCGTATTGTATCCAGACCTGAAATAAATCACTGGGTACACTATATCCGACTATAACACCATCCTGGCTGCATTATTAGCAGACACTCAGCAGCACATTCCTGAGCTCACAGTAGTCTTTAGAGCTGATCCCGGAGCTGTGTCCGGGATCAGCTTCTACTCCAGCATCAAGACAAATGCTCTCATTAAAGTGGTCCAGGTTTTTATGAGCAGAAGGTATGGATGTTTTGTGACTGTCTCTGGTCAAAGGTCTGAGCTCAGTGCCTTCAAAAGGTCATCCATACAGTTGTAAAAGACTTCACTCAATCGGATTTATTTATTGAACTCATTGCAGTGTAACCTGATGAATGATGATAAAGCGTTGTGAGAGTCAAGATGAGATCTGAGGGGACCAAGTGTCTTGCTCAAGGACACAACAACGGCAGTCATCAGTGGGAGTCGTGAAGTAGGTCTCGAGGGGGGCTCAAACCCACGACCTTCAGGCTCTAAGGCCAATGCTCTACCAACTGAGCCAGAGTCGCCCCACCTCACACTCATCATCTCTATTAAACTCCCTCCTGCAGACGTCATACAGTATTTCTGTCAGAATGAATGTCAAAATGAAATGAATGTCTCTTGTCTCAAATACAGTAAATATATTAGTACCACCAGGTTTCATGTCTAATCATGCAGCTAATATAATCACCCAAACTCTAATGGTGAGGGCTTCACTCACCCGCACACGCCTCCACGGCCTGTTACGCTGTCATTAAGCAAACTATTGTTTTAGAACCTTCTCCACCACATCCACATGTGAACAACAGGCCACAAAGCAATTTGGTTTCTAAATTACTTCTACATTCACACTGAACATGCCTCAGCAAAAAGACTATGTTGAAAAGCAGGTACAATTTGAGTTAAAGTTGTTCTGGCTCACCAGTCTAGTCTCTCTATGATCCTCTGTTCTCAGCTTTGATCTCTCCTGGGTTTCTCTCTGGCCTTGTTCTGGTCTCTCTTCTTTTATACTCTCTAGTCTCACTCTGATGTCTCTCTCTAGTCTCATTGTGGTCTCTCTCCATTTTTTGTCTCTGGTCTCTCTCTAGTCCAGGGTTCGGCAACTCAAAAGGTTCAAAGAGCTATATTTGACAAAAAAACAAAAAACAACATCTGTCTGGAGCCGCAAAAAAATTACAGCCTTGTATAAGGCTTATGTGAAGGTAGCACAGGCTGCAGCTGTATTAGCCATATTAGCCTAACATCTAAATGACAACTTCCATTTTTTTGCCTTTATACAATTGTAGAAATACATTAAATAAATCTGCTTTTTGGCTCAGCGTTCACATTCCTGCATCACAGCACAGTCTGTTCATATCCATCACATGGATGATGTTTGCTGGAGCTGAATTACAGTAGGGTCCTTAATGGCCCTTTCTTTCACCGTCTTTTTTGAAGTCTGAAAATAGGTGCTCTGAATTTTTGATGAATGAATCCTTCACGTAATCACTGTGAACAGTATTTAGCGCTTCATTGTTCCACGTGTTGCAACAAAACTTTCATTACAACGCAAACATGAAGCAGTCCTTCCTCTTTTTAGCTTTGGTATCCATGTGCACACGCCGGTTTGTTTATAACGGTGGCCGTCTGGCGCGGGGCCGCGTCACAGGATTTTTTAAAATTTTATTTATTTAACCTTTATTTAACCAGGAAAAATCCCATTGAGATTAAGAATCTCTTTTTCAAGGGAGTCCTGGCCAAGAGGCAGCAATATTTCTACGTTGACAGAAATATTGACATTGAATATTACTTAAGCACATTTTTACAGCATTTAAAAACGCTAAGAATGTTTTTCCTCCTACAGAAACCACATTCAAACTAGAACAAAATATAGCCCTCCCACGCCATTTTCAGACATTTTTGAAAAGGCTCCACTCGAGGAGCCATAAAGAGCCGCATGCGCGTTGCCGACCCCTGCTCTTGTCCCTTCTCCAGTCTCACTCTTTGGTCTCTCTCTCTGTAGACTCTTCCTGGTCCCTTTCAGAGTAGAGGGAAGAGGCAAAAAGTGTTTTTTTTGGTGGAATACCATTTGTTTTCTCTAAGTGTGAATGTTGCTGTAGTCATAACCCTCTCCTGGTGAGTGTCCCCACACAGCGCACGCTGTCGGACACCGATGTGGTCACTTAGCCCCTCGCTGTGACGCACAGCCGCTTGTTAAACTCTTATTGCTGTTTGTGGCGCGCAGCAGTAGCCACAGCAGTACCAACAGCAGCAGGAGCGGTCGGCCACATGTGTTGGACATTAGGCCAAAGAAGCTCAGATAAAACACAAGACAAGACGGAGCCGCGGCCGTTATCCTGTCGGCTCAAATTTACCGCACAGGCTAGTGTTTCGGCGCCATTTCAGAGGCTCCAACTTTGAGCGCACCTCTGACCTGCAAGAAGTAGATTTACTGCGCTGTTACATTTCACCAGCATGCTTTATAAACCTGTTTTTGAGGGGTCGGTTTTTGAGTTTGCTAAATGAGAGGGAAAATTATGATGTGAGGTCTGTCTGCGGATGGGACGGTAAATGAGTATGAGGGGAACTGTGGAAGCTCCCATCAGAAAGAGTACAATGTTGTGACCAAATCAGACCACTACATGCTGTCCTCGTCTGAGAAGCAAACAGGTTAGCTTCTGTAAACCTTTAAGAAATAACTCTGGACTGAAGTGGGGTGGATTGGCTGAGTAAGGGTGGTCCTCTCTCTATCACTTTTCTGTCTGAAAAAGTTGATCTAAAGATGTAACAGAGGCCAGAAGCACTTGCATATGAAAATGAGGGATAAAACCTCTCTAGTCTCTCTCTATATGTATGTGGTCTCGCTGGTCTCTCTCTTTCTAGTTAACTCAAGTAGCCTTTCATTCACTGAGGCCCCTCATTTTTCAAAATATTTTGAGCAGTATTTCATGTTCCATATGATGAGATGAAAACACTTAATCACAACACCTCCTTGGGTCCTGGTTGGAGTGTGAAAGCTGTGGTGCTCTGTGTGCAGGGGTGAAGGAGCTGGACCAGGTCATTGTGGTCCTCTTCACCACACACATGTTCATCGGAGGATTCTTTGGCTTCGTCCTGGACAACACCATCCCAGGTCAGAACATCACATCGCTCTGGTCCTGTCTGGTCTCTCTCTGGTCTCTCTCCAGTTTCTCTTTGATCTATTTCTGATCAGCTCTGTTCCTGTCTGATCAACGCTGGTTTCTCTCTAAACTGTCTCTGACCTCTCTCTCTCTCTGGTTCTCTCTTGTCTCTCTCTGTTTTCTCGGTATACGCTCTGGTCTCTCCAGAGGTGTCTCGTGCCAACAGGAAAGGCAGGCAGCTGCCTGGGGCCCCCAAACTGGCAGGGGGCCCCCGAGGGCCGACTGATTTGACACAAGCGGCCGACTTGTACAGGCTACAACAGCTACCTGCAGTGACGAGTTGGCGGATAAAAACTTTTCGTCTGTGTGGAAACTTGCCACGTTCTGTATTAAAATTTGAAGACCCTTTCTTGAGCAGATTGTATTCAATGGAATGGTGGTCCAGTGGTTAAGATGCAGCGCTCGCACTGCAGTGGCCACGGTTCTAATCTGAGCAGGAGCAGTATTTTTGTATTCATCTATATATTATATGATATGACAGATTGCTCAAGAACGGTAAAAGGTAAAAACAAGCCGGTTTTTGCAGATTAAAGCTAAGAGCCTAATCTTTAATTTAGACTATATAAACACTGAGGGAAAAATTAAAGATTAGATTTAGTAGGATTAATACTCTTTGATAGGTATAGTTTTTGTAATTAATTATAACATGATGAGTGTAATGAACAAGCTTATAAAATGTGCCACGATAAGTGGTAGACTGTACAGTCTGCCAGGCAGGCCCCAGGACTATGAATTTATTGTTAAAAATACGAAATTATCTACATTTAATTCATAATAATTCAAACAAGTAATAGATATTGCGTTTTACCTCATCATTAAAAATATATTTATACCTACTGTAATACAAACCTTTTTATGTGGTTATGTGGTCGGTATCGGGGGCCCCAAGGACTCTGTTGCCTGGGGCCCTGGGGTACCCTTGGAACGCCACTGGGTCTCTCCCTGGTATCTCTCTCTAGACTCGCAGGTCTCTCTCTGGTCTCTCTCTGTTTTCTCTGTGTACGTTCTGGTCTCTCGCTGGTATCTCTCTCTAGAATCTCAGGACTCTCTCTGATTCTCTCTTGTATCTCTCTGGTCCCTCTGTGTTCGCTCTGGTCTCTCTCTCTCTGGTTTCTCTATCTAGACTCTCCCTGGTCTTTCTTTCTGAACTCTCGGGTCTTTCTCTCTTGTCCCTCTCTGGTTTCTCTGTGCTCTGTCTGGTGCCTCTCAGGCCTATCTCTGGTTCCTTTCTGCTCTCTCTTATATCTTTCTGCTTTCTCTATGCTCTCTGCTCTTTCTCTTTTTCACTTTTCTCTCAAAAAAAAAACTGATGTAAAGATCACATCCGGAAAAAGGTGGGTGGAGCAGTCCTTCCTCAAGTGGAGGAGTTGAAGTATCTTGAGGTCTTGTTCATGAGTGAGGGAAGGATGGAGCGTGAGATTGACAGGCGGATTGGTGCAGCGTGCGCAGTGATGCGGTCGCTGTATCGGACCGTTGTGGTAAAGAGGGAGCTGAGCCGAAAGGCAAAGCTCTCGATTTACCGGTCAATCTTCGTTCCCTCCCTCACCTATGCTCATGAGCTGTGGGTAATGACCGAAAGAACGAGATCGCGGATACAAGCGGTCGAAATGAGCTTCCTCCGCAGAGTGGCTGGGCGCTCCCTTAGAGATAGGGTGAGGAGCTCAGTCACACGAGAGGAGCTCGGAGTAGAGCCGCTGCTTCTCCACGTCGAGAGGAACCGGTTGAGGTGGCTCGGGCATCTGTTCAGGATGCCTCCTGGACGCCTCCCTGGGGAGGTGTTCCGGGCACGTCCCACCGGGAGGAGGCCCCGGGGAAGACCCAGGACACGCTGGAGAGACTATGTCTCTCAGCTGGCCTGGGAACGCCTTGGGGTCCCCCCGGACGAGCTGGAGGAGGTGTGTGTGGAAAGGGAAGTCTGGGTGTCTCTGCTTATACTGCTGGTCCCGCAAACCGGCAACGGATGAAGCGGAAGAAAATTATGGATGGATAGATCACAGTACACATGCACGTGAAAACTAGTGATAGACACGGTTTAGTTGTGATGGGAAAGTCAGATACCCCAGCTTTAAATGCTTTTTGTTTTTTGCTGCAGGCACAGATAAGGAGCGTGGCATTAAGAAGTGGCGGGACAGTGTGGGGCTGGTTCTCACGGACGACTGCAGCGACGTCTCTTGTTACGACATTCCTCTGTGTGGAGGAGTCCTCAGGCGCTTCCCGATGCTCCAGCTCCTGCCCTTCCTGCCCTCCTACAAGCACCGGCCCTGCTCCAGCGACAAGGAGCAAATCTGACCCTAAACACATTGCCCCAAAGACAATGACCAGATAAACAGCAAAAACTGCCCCAATAAGAGCCCTGTTTCCACCAGGCCTACTGCACTCCACACTACTCTACTTTACCCAGGAGAATTTCCACTGGCCCTGTTTGACCAGTACCAGGTCCTTAGTACCTCTTGGCCCTGGTTCTAAGTGTTTTAACTGACAGTGATAGGCCATAGTGCAGCTGGAAGCCATGGTTACCAAGGAATTTCCACAGATACTGATTTGTTGTGGGTAGGGGGTTGGGATACGGTACCAGATACGAAAGCATAATAGAAATGCACCCAGGTAGAGTAGAGAAGGACTGGTGGAACAGGGCTTATGACCAGATATAACCGCAAAAACTGCCCCAATGAGTGCTTAGAGGTGTTTTCCATGTTCCAACATTGCTCGTCATCAGTCTCAGACCTGGAGTTGTTTTAGCTCCATTCACTCTGATATCAGGAACATCTCGCACAAACCTTTAACTCTGTCCCTTCTGTCTGATGCCGCGTTAATGCGATCTCGGAAACATTGAAAATATTGCAAAGAAACAGTTTTGGACAAAATAAATCCTGCACCACCTGTTGAGAACCACTGTTTTGAACAACAAAGTCTTTATTTTTTGATTTTTAGTTTGTTCCAACATGATTCTTAATCAAGCCACAGACTCAGAGTTGTTTTTATCTTTCCCCATCCTTACTGTCTTAATGCTTCGTTACATCCGTGTATAGACATTAGAAAAGCGTGGCATTTTCTCAAGCAGGCTCCTTTGGCAATAATCAGGAGTGGCCAAAGTTTTAATCAGAGAGAAGGCACCTGATTGTTCTGTTGCTGCGAGTAAAAAACCAAGATCACGGAGAGAGCTAAACCATGGATCTTGTAATGGTGTGACTCAAAGGGTTACTGTGCTGGAGGAGTGAAGTCTGTATAACTTCTATACAGTCTCTGGTAGAAACATGGGGCCTGTTGCCTTTAAACACACATAAAGTGCTTCTGACTGGAACCACGTCATGTTCATGACTAACAAAGACTTTTATTGTACAATCCATATTTATCTTTTTGTTTTGATTGTGTGTATAAAGTACGTGAAATCATGTGTTGTTTTTTTAAATGACTTGAATTCAGACTCTCACTGGGATCGGTCAATTACAGTATTATCTCATTTTGATAGTTCAGTCATAGTTTAATGTAAAAAGCAAACAAATGAAGGCATTAGAGCATTGAACCAGTCAGGTCTATATTATTTCTCCATATTTTATGTTATTGTTTATTAGGAAAAACACATTGAGATTCTTGTCAAAGACTCAAGAAACACTCAAAACATTTAATACAGTTGTAGGACCTGTCCACACAAAGTCAAATCGAGGCCTGAACACAATAATACTCAAATCAAATCTGGACCAGGCCTATTCCTTTGCATGTTTCTCCCTGTTTCTGGATGACTTTCCCCTCAGGTACCAGTTTTCGCACCACCCTTCAACATCCAAAGGTTCTTCTCCTGAGTGCCCTAGGGTCAAATACAGTCCCCTGTACAACAGAGATGTCAAACTGGTTTCATTCCTACCAGACTCCACCCCTTTCTTCAGGTCTCCAGGTTATGACTGGATAGTTGCTCATACATTACAGCATTTGCTTCCCTCAGACACAATTGTTTTGTGCGGATTTAAACCACTGGAAAACATTATGTATAATTCTGTAAAGATGTTAAAATCAAATATGAAAATGCTGAATGGAGTTTCTCCCTTTGTAATTTTTCCCCGGTCTTTTCGGCTTGGTCATAATATCGTCTCCATGGTGATCTTGTGACTGATCCAAAGGTTCAGGCTCCAGGTTGTTACAGTGTTTACATCTGGTGTGAATTATTCCCCCGGTCGCTCTACCTCAGCCACAGAATTATTCCACGACGTTGTATCTCAAGCTGTTATTTAATTTGCTGTGTACAAAGATAAGGCTCATGTTAATGTGTGTTTACTTTTTTTACTTTTTAAACTCTTGTAAAAAGTACTAATATTGTGTTATGAATCATGAGAAGAAAGGGGTCAAGTTGACCCGTAATAAACACAAAATAAAACCTTGACAGTTTTTGTCCATTTGCTTTTAGAATATTACAGATACAGTGCAGAGAGGACTGGGCAGCAGTCGAAGGCGGAGACCTCGGCGACCCAGTCCGCACACCCAACATCTGGCTCTTGGGACGTGGAACGTCACCTCACTGGGGGGGAAGGAGCCCGAGCTTGTGGGGGAGGTCGAGAGGTACCGACTAGAGATAGTCGGCCTCACCTCCACACACAGCTTGGGCTCTGGAACCCAACTCCTTGAGAGGGGTTGGACGCTCCACTTTTCTGGTGTTTCTCGCGGGGAGAGGCAGCGAGCTGGGGTGGCCATACTCATTGCCCCCCATCTCAGCCGCCACGTGTTGGAGTTCTCCCCGGTGAATGAGAGGGTCGCGTCCCTCCGCCTTCGGGTGGGGGACAAGTCTCTCACTGTTGTGACGGCCTACGGGCCTAACAGCAGTGCAGAGTACTCGGCCTTCTTGGAGTCCTTGGGAGGCGTACTGGACGGTGCACCGCCCGGGGACTCCGTCATTCTCCTGGGGGACTTTAACGCCCATGTGGGAAGCGCCAGTGACACTTGGAGAGGGGTGATCGGGAAGAATGGCCCCCCTGATCTGAACCCGAGTGGTGTTCAGTTGTTGGACTTCTGTGCTAGTCACGGTTTGTCCATCACGAACACCATGTTTGAGCACAAGGGTGTCCACCAGTGCACGTGGCACCAGGACACCCTAGGCCGGAGGTCGATGATCGACTTTGTTGTCGTATCATCTGACCTTCGGCCGCGTGTTTCGGACACTCGGGTAAAGAGAGGGGCGGAGCTGTCAACCGATCACCACCTGGTCGTGAGTTGGATCCGCTGGCAGGGGAAGAAGCCGGTCAGACCTGGCAGACCCAAGCGTGTAGTGAGGGTCTGCTGGGAACGTCTCGCTGAGACCCCTGTCAGACGAACTTTCAACTCACACCTCCGGGAGAGCTTCTCCCAGGTCCCCGCGGAGGAGGGGGATATTGAGTCTGAGTGGACCATGTTCTCTTCCTCTATCGCCGATGCGGCGGCTCGTAGCTGTGGTCGCAAGGTCTCTGGTGCTGGTCCCGGCGGCAACCCCCGAACCCGGTGGTGGACACCGGCAGTAAGGGATGCCGTCAGGCTGAAGAAGGAGTCCTATCGAGCCATGATGGTTCGGGGGACTCCTGAGGCAGCTGTCCAGTACTGGCAGGCCAAGCGTGCCGCGGCCCGGGCTGTTGCAGAGGCAAAAACCCGGGACTGGGAGGAATTCGGAGAGTCCATGGAGCATGACTATCGGTCGGCCTCGAAGAGATTCTGGCAAACTGTCCGGCGCCTCAGGAGGGGGAAGCAGTTCTTTGCCAACACCGTGTACGGTGCGGGGGGTGAGCTGCTGACCTCGACCGGGGATATTGTCGGACGGTGGAAGGAATACTTTGAGGTTCTCCTCAATCCCCCCGTCACGTCCTCCGCTCCGGAGGCAGGGGCTGAGGATGTTGGGGCGGATACTTCTGTCACCCTGGCAGAGGTCACCAAGGTGGTTGGCAGCCTCCTTGGTGGCAAGGCGCCGGGAGTGGATGAGATCCGTCCTGACTATCTAAAGTCTCTGGATGTTGTAGGACTGTCTTGGCTGACACGTCTCTGCAACATCGCGTGGCGATCGGCGGCGGTGCCAATGGAGTGGCAGACCGGGGTGGTGGTCCCTCTCTACAAGAAGGGGGACCGGAGGGTGTGTTCCAATTATTGTGGGATCACACTCCTCAGCCTCCCTGGTAAGGTTTACTCCAAGGTACTGGAGAGGAGGTTACGGCCGATGGTCGAATCTCGGATTCAGGAGGAACAGTGTGGTTTTCGTCCCGGCCGTGGAACACTGGACCAGCTCTACACTCTCCATCGGATACTCGAGGGTTCATGGGAGTTCGCCCAACCTGTCCGCATGTGCTTTGTGGATTTGGAGAAGGCGTTCGACCGTGTTCCCCGGGGTGTCCTTTGGGGGGTCCTCCGTGAGTACGGGGTCCGGGGTCCTCTGCTGAGGGCCGTCCGGTCCCTGTATGACCGGAGCCAGAGCTGCGTGCGCATTGCCGGCAGTAAGTCAGACCTGTTCCCGGTGCATGTTGGCCTCCGCCAGGGCTGCCCTTTGTCACCGGTTCTGTTCACTGTATTCATGGACAGAATTTCTAGGCGCAGCCAAGGGTCGGAGGGGGTCCGGTTCGGGGACCACAGGATTTCATCTCTGCTGTTTGCAGACGATGTTGTCCTGTTGGCTCCAACGAACCAGGACCTAAAACATGCACTGGGACGGTTTGCAGCCGAGTGTGAAGCGGCTGGGATGAGAATCAGCACCTCCAAATCTGAGGCCATGGTGCTCGACCGGAAAAAGGTGCCTTGCCCTCTCCGGGTGGGTGGAGAGGCCCTTCCTCAAGTGGAGGAGTTCAAGTATCTCGGGGTCTTGTTCACGAGTGAGGGAAGGATGGAGCGTGAGATTGACAGGCGGATTGGTGCAGCGTGCGCAGTGATGCGGTCGCTGTATCGGACCGTTGTGGTAAAGAGGGAGCTGAGCCGAAAGGCAAAGCTCTCAATTTACCGGTCAATCTTTGTCCCCTCCCTCACCTATGGTCATGAGCTTTGGGTAATGACCGAAAGAACAAGATCGCGGATACAAGCGGTTGAAATGAGCTTCCTCCGCAGAGTGGCTGGGCGCTCCCTTAGAGATAGGGTGAGGAGCTCAGTCACACGGGAGGAGCTCGGAGTAGAACCGCTGCTACTCTACGTCAAGAGGAACCAGTTGAGGTGGCTCGGGCATCTGTTCCGGATGCCTCCTGGACGCCTCCCTGGGGAGGTGTTCCGGGCATGTCCCACCGGGAGGAGGCCCCGGGGAAGACCCAGGACACGCTGGAGGGACTATGTCTCTCAGCTGGCCTGGGAACGCCTTGGAG